ACGCGAGCTAGGGCTGTAGCTCCGTGGCAAGAGCGCTTGCCTAGCATGTGTGAGGCACTGAGTTCAACCCTCAGCACCGCATACAAATAAAATTAGGGCATGCTGTCCATACACAATTACAAAAAAAAAAAATTTTAATTGTACATATGCATGCTTGTATCTGGATGTCAAGTTTTCAGTGAGAACAAATCTCTTGCTGGCCTATGTTGAAATAAGTGGTTTCTAAGAGAAGGCCCTGGCCCAATGACCAAATTCAAAAGGGCAATCTCTGAAAGACAGAAAAGGCAGCAGAGACCAAAAGTGGGGCCTAAGCAGCTAATTTTGTTTCTGCTATTTTTCATTGTATTCCATTCATTTGATTGATTGTTCTAAGAAACCAAAACACTCAGCCTCTAAATGCCCGCTCCTGAACACAAGATGCAATCACATTCCACCGTCGATGATGAACAGCGGTGGAGTTAGACGATGGCAAGTTACCGAATCTCAAAGCAGAATCTCTGCATCCTACGCAGCTCAACACAGCCAACTGGTTTCCCCTATAGAAATCCATCCAGAGAGTGCCCCCGGGGAGAGCCCTCTTATGTACAGAGGAGACTTTAACAGCCAAGTAATTAAACACTGAAGTAAGGGCTTATAATTAAAATGCTGACAAACCTAAGCCCAGGCGGCACAAGGAGGGGTGCTGTAATATTTTTACAATTCCTTTTTATACATAATGTATGATCCTTCTGCTCAAGTTTCCTCTATGTTCTTTGCCTGTGAAATCATTTACATTAATAAATAATTTATCACCATAACTCCTAAAGTAATTATGGGTTTCCAGCCAATTTTTTTTAGCATATGAATTGTTTTGTTCTCTGTCCATTGACTTGTATTTACAAGACTTTTCCTAGTGGCCTTTTTGAAATAATTGGCATTGCCTTCGCTTTCTCACATTTTACGTGATTTCCAGGTCTTCTCCTCGCCTGAGTGGCGAGGAAAATGGAATGTGTGGTGTCCATTGTCCCTGCAACACAGAACTCGTTTAATGGCTGCAATTAGCTGAGGGTGGTGAATGGAGGCTGCTCTCACCCCACTTGCCCTGTTTTACCGAATAAGATTAAACCGGTACACGTGTGACCCCCAGGCCAGCATAAAGCAGCAGCCCCCACTGCAAATGGCAGAGGATCTAGAGGGAGCAGCAACTGAAGCTCCGTGTGCAGTCTCTGCCTCACCCAACCTAGTGGATTCCCTTCTCCACACCCAGCAGGAGTCAATGTCAGAACAGGAGGGTGGCTCCCAGACTGGCCAGCTGATAAGAGGGTGGGCTGCACCCACAGAGCTGCCTCCTGGCCCAGGTTTCCTGTGTCAGGAGCACAGTCCATGGTCATGTAGGGCTCTTCCCCAGAGAAGCTATCTGCAAAGGAAATTTCAATTCAGCACAGAAGCTGGGCTGGGGATGACCTGAGGGGCGAGAAAGGAAACCAGAAAAACTTGGCCTTTGCTAGAAGGGACCTACAGTGATGGGGCAAGCCTGGCGCCCCAAAGGCCTCAGCCAGACACAGAGCAGGAAGGCAGGGCTGGGCTCCACTCTGCCCGGCTTCTCCCATTGGCACCTCACCCTGGCTTTGTTTTCTCCCTTATTTTGGAAAAGCACAAAAACACTTCTCTGTACTAAGCCCCAAACTAGACTGGGGGACAAGGGTGGGGAGAGGCCTGGTATCCAGCTCGAAATCACAAAGCATGAAGTACTTGGGAGGAGGAGGGGAAAAAAAAAAAACCTGTTGCTTTGAGCACTTGATTATGTTAGCACTTCATCTGGGTGGGAGCAGAGGAGGCCCAGCCACTCGGGAGGGGGCCTTCTAAGAAGCAGCAACAGTCATACTGCCAATGTAGTTGCTGGCATTTCCTTCAGAGCATTTATGGAACCCAGACTCATACTGGTTTTCAGCTAGGACCCTTACATGGGGTGAGGGGAAACCCCCAAGTCACAGGGCCAACAGTCCCCAGTCCTCATGGGAGAATTCCACTGATCAAGGCCCGCACTAGAGCCCTTTATCTCTGGGAGACTGGCTGGGGGTGGGTGATTATAATAATTTGGCACTTTATCTTTGCTCAGCATTGTCCAGCCCTGGAAGGGCCCAAAACCAGCTTAAAAAGTCTAGCCAGTCCCTTAGGGTGTTCTCTTCCCCGCCATTGAAAAGCAGCCCCACCCAAGATGAAATCTCACAACCGGGTGCACTCCCAGTCCTCACAGCAGGGTAGGGCCGCAACACCTGGACCCGCAGGTTAATGGGATGAAATAACCTGAGCTTTCACCAGCACAGGGGCCTGGGGGGCTCCTGACTGCTGACACCCACACCCAGCAGGTGCCAGAAAGTTCTGGAAGCAGAAGGAACCTAGTGGCACCTCTAGGGTGCTGCTGTCTCTTTGAATCCCTATGATTGGCCGAGGGGATGCCATGGGATAGGAAGACAGGGAGACATGCCTGTGGCTCTCAGGACTCCTTGGTCTTGCAAGCTGGGCCTGTGCTCTGGGGAATTCACTACTGCTCTTTCTCCTCCAGCAGACAGCAATCTCGCTGCAGGTAGATACAGACCCTAGTTTGCTCTACCCAGCACTAAGTGCCTGACATACGATAGGTACTCAATTATACCCACTAGAATAAACCACTGCAACCAACCATGGTAAGTGCAAAGCCTTGGTAATGCGCCATCACACAGGGCAGGGTCCCAAACACAGGAGGAGGCTGAGTCAGAGAAGGATGGTGCACTAGAGAGAGAGAGACGCAGAGCAGGATGCGGGCTTGCCCGCGACCCACCACCTGCACAGCCACCCCTGGTGCTCCCTGGACCGACAGGCAGTGCCTCAGCAACTGCCCTACAGAGCAGAGGCCCCAACACAGGAACAGAGCTCCTAAAGGGCTACTCTTCTAACAAGAATAGGGGGACATAGCCTGATACCTCCTGCAAGCCCTGGCCTCCCCAGGACAAAGCAGGCTGCAGGCAATCCAAGCGTCTGCCCACATGACTCCTTCCCCAGGCCTCTCTCCCTCAGTCTCTGGGCCTGAGAATCCACCCCTACAAGGGCAGCTCCCTCACCCCCTCTCCAGTGGAAACCACCATAGTCCCTCTGTTTAGACTTGGAGGCCCCTTCTCTGGAAGAGGGATCCTCAACTTAGGTCTCAGTCCCCTCTTGAACTACTACTCATGAAATGCTCCTACTATACTAATCTCTTTGCAAAACAATGTCACAGAGTCCTCACGACAAGCCTACAACATGGGTGCTATTGTGATTGCCATTTTGCAGACAAGGAAACTGAGGTTCAGAGAAGTTAAGAAGTTCAATGTGACAACTCAAACCTAACACTGCCTCCACCCCAGGAGAGTTCACCTTACCATGGTTCACACAGTTTAAAGCCCAGGGAAGCCTAAAGCACAAACAGCCTTGAATCAAGGCTACCATCCCAACTGTCCAGGTTAATAGTCTGGCTGTTTTAAGCTGAAGTCACAGGTTGGGAGTTGGGCGTGCTCAAGGATTCCTTCCCTCTCTCTTGGGCACACGGAAGGCAGCAACTCAGTCATGACACTGTCCCAGGAAAAGGAGAGACAGCAGGCTTGCAGGCCACATGCTGGGACACAGAGGGTTTAAAAACCGTTAACCACTAAGGAGGTATTCAATCATGTGGGGACAGGCCTCAAAAGTGTGTCACATAAGCACTCCAAGGCAGGTGATCTCTGGTTCCATTTCCTCTGAGTGGTAGCATCAAAGAGGACCACCCAGCTTTCCCAGAGCTGTGGCATGTGACTGAGAAGGAAACGTCTCCTTCTCCCCCACCTGATTCAAGTCTGCCTCCAAGGGACCTCAGTTTCCTCCTATGTGAATAAGCACATCTTTGGAGTGGCGTACAAGAAGCTTGGTACAGCACCCCGCACAGTGCTCACCACAACAGACCCAGTGCTCCTCCACTCTCATGTCTCATCTACAGGAAATGCCTCAAAAGAAGGAAAAGGAAACACTGGGCACACAGGAAAGGGGCTGGGAAAGGAAGGCGAGGATGACTTGACCTGCTCCTCCCAAGACACACAACCCTCAGCCTACAGTAAATAGTAAATGCCCACTGTCAAAGTCCAGTCTCTGAGCTGATGTGTCATCTGAAAGGACACCCCAGAGGGGGACAGGAGTGTCATGGAGAGAGAGCAAAAGTAAATACTCTGCCCAATCATCTGAAGCATCAAGAAATCCACATAACCGATACGGTCACCTGTTTGGTCCCTATCAGAAATAGCAAGTCACATGTGTATGGCAAGAGAGGACTGAGGTACCCCCTGTAGAAGGCAGACCGACAGCCCAAATCAAGAGCCGGAAAGAGGTCCCTTCCCTCTGGCCTCTCTGTTCCCCTCCTGGGAACTAGCTCCAAGGAATAATGTGAAAGACAAGACTCAGACACTTAGTCACTGTAATGACAACAGAAAATTCAAAAGCACCTTTACCTAGAAGCCACAGAAATTTTATTGTTAAGGACATTTTGATACATCCACACAATGCTGTACTGCAGACCATCGAAATACATGAAATGAATAGTTTTCATGCTGCAGAACTACCAAGTGGAAAAACAAATACAGTTTTATATAATTATATGTTCATCATAGACTCATCTACGTTAAAAAAATGCAAAAAACAAGCATAAAAGTACCGACAGTTATCACTGGGAAATGGAGCTATACGAGATTTTTACTTTGTATGTTAGCTGTATCTCCTGAATGAAAAAATCACCAAGAATTATAATAATCAGACAGAAACTCTCAATGTTAAGACTTGGACACAGTTTGTAAACCACAGCCCAGTTTCTGTCCCCTCAGTCACCCCAACAGCCCCCAGACCTTCCAGCACCACTGGGGATGGAAACACACAGAGGGTCCCCAGGGCTCTTCTGGGACTCATGTGCAGAAAGTGCTTTCAGCATCTCACCTGGCTGTGACAACCAGAGGAGGATGGCCCCTGGCCGTGCGGTTACTCACCCATAATTCCACAAGAGAAAAGGGTAGGTCCTTGACTCATCTTCTTTGGCGTGTGCTGAAAACAACCAGAAAAGCTATTCACTCTTTAAGTCATAAGAAGCGCGTTCACACATGACTCTGCACTGATCTCTTGCTAAAGTCACAATTAAAGGGAAAACTGCCTTTTGCCAGCGTCAGACTGGGGAAAGGAGAAAAGCGTTCCAAGAGACAACATTTGCACGGATCTGGACCTAGACTGTCTCACATCTCCAGCCAGGGATGGATCCATCTGACACGAGGGGATCTCCCCACATAAGTGATAAGGGGTTGGGGGTACAATGGTAAACAGTAGGACAAACTTCAGTACAGGGCTGGAAGAGATTGGGAGAGGCAGGGCCTCTCAGCATGGAAGAGCTGAGGGCCCTCTCCCACTGCCAGAACCCCCTTGGAGTCTTCCTGCCATGCTCAAAACCACTGGCCTTTGCTCCACAGGCCGCTCTGCAGCTACAGCACTACAGGCCCCCCTGTCATTCTCATTGGACTGGACCAGAAACTCACTGGTTCCATTTGGTCGCAACCTGAGAGCTATGGCTTTGAACTCCTGGCTGCTACATTTTCACAATGGCTTCCCCTTCCACTGTGAGCATCCTCCATCTTCCCTCACAGCCCACAGCTAGCTTCCACTGAACACTGATGGCTACTGTGGAGAACCGGCCAAGGAGGCCTGGAAGAGCCCATACCCCTGCACTCGCTCCATGACTACACGACAATCTGAGCATGAAATATTCTGGGAGCTCCTTGTGCTGACATTCAGGTGTTCCTGTTCTAGCTGCTGGTGAGGAAGAGTCCACCCAATCGGCACCTGAAGGAAGTCTGCCTCAAGTATTCCAAAGACTAGGGCTGGGGCTGGGGCTCAGTGGCAGAGCACTTGCCTAGCATGTGTGGTGCACTGGGTTTGATCCTCAGTACCACATAAAAATAAACAAATAAAATAAAGGCATTCTGTCCATCTACAGCTACAAAAAAATTTTTTTAAAAAGTATTCCAGGGCTGGGGATGTGGCTCAAGCGGTAGTACGCTCGTCTGGCATGAGTGCGGCCCGGGTTCGATCCTCAGCACCACATACAAGCAAAGATGTGTGTCTGCTGAAAACTAAAAAATAAATATTAAAAAAAAAAAAGTATTCCAAAAGACTAACTCCCTCTCTCCCTCATTAATTTGCCCAATAGACAGGAAGTGGCAATCATCTACATGCAGGCTGTGCTAGGTGCTGACCTTGCCATGGTGTAAGCAGCTAATGGCCCCAGACAAATCACCTCCAACTCTGAGGGAAGCCCCCAAAACTTCCTCTCACACCCCCCACGACAAGAACAGGCAAGGCTTCTAGGCTGAGAAGTGGGCAGGAGCCCAGGGCCCAATCCTTGAAGTCCTGGAAGGAGGGTGGGGCTGACTAGGAACACCTGACTCACCCAGATAAGAGAGTGCTTGTCATGAGCTCCCTCACCCATCCCCATCTGCTCCATCCAGGGATCTCTGCATTTAGACACCACTGCATTTATCCCGTAGTTTTTCAGTGTCCACCATGACCAGCTTGGGGACACAGAGGTGAAGAAGAGCTCTGCCTCAGGAAGGACACAGTCATGTACACAAGGCTTTACATTACATAGAGATGGGGGGCCTATGCCAGTGTGCTGGGTCGGGGTGCAGTCAGGGCTGGCTTCCTAGAGAAACACCTGAGCTGGCGTTGATCAACCAGAAGGAACTTGTGGAGGGCAGCTCCTCCTTCCTTGGTGGACAACAATCCTTACATCATCAGGCTAGCTCACCTTCTTCGATCCCAAGTGATGTGACCTCCTATTCTATAGCCATGTGTGGAAATATCTGGAAAGCATGAAAGAGAGCTCCAGCTGCCTCCCCCTCGGTTGACACTTAACACTACAGGATGCACAGCTGAAAGCCACACCAAAGTAACCCAATGAAGAGCGGGTGACAAACATAAAAGAGTCCCCCACTGGGCTATGCCACCCTCACAGATGGGACCTAGGCAGGCACCTTGCTCTCAGGGAAAGGGTTCAGAGAGAGAAATGGGGCTTCTCCCCTGCCAGGTGCCAGGCCTGCCAAGGGAGACAAGTTCCCAGTATTAGGGAAGCACCCAGGACAAGGACAACAGCCACTGAGGAATCACAATCCCCACCTCCTGTGCTGGACAGGTAGCAGAGCAACCCAGCAGGGAGCCCGCAGAAGTCCACTGCAGGACAGGGACTGTAGCAAGCAGAAGGGAGCACGAAGGCTGTCACAGCCTGTGTGCTTCACTGGCGAGCATGAGCTGCAAAAGACGACTTGGGGCAGACAGACAAAAGCAGGAAGCAGCAGAGCAGAGCCCCGCCTTCTTGGTGGGACAACATGGCCTTTCGTTCTAATAAGCTGGTGTGATCTAGACAGGGGCAGCCCAGGATACTCCTGACCCACACCCATCCAGGGAACGTGCACACATGAGTGGGTACTACCACGCTGCAAGCAGGCAGGAGGGCTATCGGCTGGTCATGGCCTGCGCCAGGAAGCCCTGGCCAGCACACAGGGCTCCAGGATCCCACTCACTCAACAGGGACCTGTCAGCATTTGCTACAGATCCCCAGAGCAGCTACCTGTTCCCCAGGCCAGACGAGTGCTCTTACCACTCCAAACACCCCATTCATGCCCCCTGGCACCCAGCATGGTGCTCTTGGCCCCTATTTTCCACCTTCCACACAGAACCCTAAGTCATCTTTTTAAAGCAGAGATCAGATCAAGTCATTCCTTTCTCTCCAACAACTTCCCACAGCAACCAGCATAAAATCCAGGCTACCCCATCTCCCACAGCCCCCAGGCCCATGTGAGCCAAGCCCATGCCCCCTCACTCCCTCTGCACTCCTCCTCACTCCTGTTGCCAGCAACCGCTACCCCAGGGCCTTTGCACCAGGATCTTATCTTTACATGCTCTGTGTCCATATTGTCATGTGGCCTCCTCAGAGGCCCTCCCTGAGCGTCCTGGCTAGATCAGTACCCTCCCATCTCAGGCTCCCCCCCCACAGATCTAACACTGCCAGCAAGACCAGCGTGCTTGTCCCACGTGCATTCTCTGCTTTAGAAGTGGAGGCCCCTTGGGGGAAGGGGCTGCCTTTTTTACCTTATCCCAACACAGCCGGCACTGGGGCTGGGCCTGCCTGCTTGTGCCAGCCTGTACTGCTTCCACTACCCACTCACCCTGTGGACAACAGGCCAACAGACATGGAGTTTTTGTAGGGCAGAACCTACTGCCTCTCCAAATCACTAGGCTCCTGAGAAGCTAAGCTCGGTGGGGAAGGAGAGAAAGCACAGCATGGAGAGGCAGGGCCACCAACCAGGCCTGCCCAAGTTCCCCACACCAGCCTCCAACTCCCCACCCAAAAGTGCCAGGGAACCCGGGATGTATGGCACTGAGACATCACAGCCTAAAAGAATGAATCTTCACTTCTCCTCAGCCTGCCATGAATCCCTGCCATGTCCTCCCCACTGCCCTGACCCTCCACACTCTTCTCCACCAGCCAGCCATCTGTCATCGCCCCAGGGAGCACGTCTTGGTGTAAGCTGGCTGGAGATGGCCTCTGTGGCTTATGAACGAGGGACCCTACCAGTTTTGTGCTAGACCTCCAGGTGGGATGGGACCCTGTCTTGCTTTCTCAGCCCTCTCTGTGAGGCAAAGCCAACGCAGTCAGGCCAAAACACCCCACCTCTGCAGGTGTGGGGCCCCGGCAGATCCTGACCACTGGTGGGTGTCCCTGGAAGTCCCTGCAGGTTGACCAGAACCTCTCTAATCCCATCTACCCAGAATGTGATAACATGAAGGGCGCCATTCCTACAGTCAGCCAGTCTCACCTTCAACTCCTCGGATCCCACAGGGCAGGAGGGAGGAAAGCAGATCACTGTGCACTGAGGCCCACCAGCCCCAAGGTAATGGTGTCCCTGGAAGCTTCACAGACTCCCGTATCTATACGGAAGTGCTCCCAAGCTCTGGCTGAGGTATGCAGTGAAGGCAAGCAAAGAGCATGTGTCCCCTTCTGTACCCCTTCCTCTACCACGTCTCTGTTCCCCAACCCACCCAGGAAAGGGCCTGTCCCTGTGATCCTCCTTACACAGAAGACAAGAGCTTTGGAATCAGAACCTCTCAGGAAAGGCAAAAGCTAGAAATGAAATCAAGGCTTGTGAGCCATCTGTCCAACTAAAGAAAGAGACCCTGCCTTAAAAAAGACACAATTAAGACTCCAAACGAGGAACTGGCCTATGCAGAAAACTCTAGGCCTTATCCATGGTTCTTTGCAACTTTTTTTCTGAAGATTATGGACCATAGCAATTGAATCACTTTTTCCTTGTCCTGACATAGTGTACAGGGAGCAGCCCACACCCATGCATGGGGGTGGGGGTGGGGAGCGGGGTGAATAGAAGAGCACCCATGCCTCCAAAACAGAATACACGAGACTATGAAAGACTAGAAAGCAGAGATGCAGGCCCAAGAAGACAGAAAGAAACTGAGAGGGGAACAGCATCCTGTGACTCTCAAAGATGCTGATGGTCATCTGGTACCCCTGACTCCAAGGCTCTGGGGATACCTAGGCTAGAGGGCCCTAGGGTACCTCTGCTAGTCCAGGGTGAAAGGCACCAGGCTTTCTCAGACTTGCTGTGTACTTCTGAGTCCAAACTTCAGTCAGAGCAAGTACCTAGCCATGGCATCCTAACCTGACACGTGCAGAAGGAAGCACCTGATCAGCCCCTCCCAAAAATTGGAGTGGATCATTAGGGGAGAGTCAAGTAGCCCCGAACCGCACACTGCCCTGTCCAGGAGCGGCCACTTGCCAGCTCCCTCTAGTCTCCAGACTTTACAGAGAGCTGGGAGACTTGCTGGGGAGAGAAGGCCAGGACTTGCCAAGGGAGGTGGTCATTCTGGAAACGAGAGAACAAGCCCTTGTCCTACGCGTGGGTGTGCGGGAAGGAGTTGGGGGAGCACAGTGCTGCAGGGTCAAATGTCTGGGCTCCCTTCCAGTGGCAGCAGCTAATCTTAGACTAGGAGAAGAAAGAGCACGAATGACCAACAAGAGCAACCAGGCAGAGCAGGGAAGGAAAACCGACAGCCATGGCTGCTGACGGTCCAAGCTAAGCCAGTGTGGGCACAGCCGCGCCCTTGGGCAGTCTCTCCCAGGCACATGGCCCCTGTGCCTGCAAAGGGAAAATGCTCAATGCTTCTCAGTGCTTTTTCTTGTTTTCCTACACTGTTCTCTAGAGTAGGGATAGTCACGTTGTCACCAACATTTCGTTTTTTGAAAAGGAGAATGAAAGAGCCATTATGAGGGCCATAGGAGGGCAGGGATGAGGCTGTCCTCTGGCTCCTCACCAGGTCCCAGGGTGGCACCTGCAGGCTCTCCTCGGGCACGCCATGACACCCAGGGCTCGTAGACCCTTGTGACTTTCCCCTGAGGCCTCAGACTTTCTGTGCTCCCTGCTGACCAGCTCAGGGTCAGGGTGGGGCAACACCTCAGGTGCCTGCTCCTGAATTCAAGTGGCCTGTGCCTGCACATTTCCCAGCCTCCTCAGAATCATGTTTTCTTTTTAATTTTATTTAATTGATTTATTTGGGTGGTACCAGGCATCGATCTCTCTCTCTCTCTTTTTTTTTCCAGTACTGGGTACTGAACTCAGGGCTTCCTACATGCCAAGCAATGCTTCATCACTGAGCTCCACCTCCAGCCCTTTTTACTTTTTACTTTGAGACAGGGTCTTGCTAAGTTGCTAAGGCTGGCCTTGAACTTAAGATCCTCCTGCCTTGGGCCTCCCTAGTAACTGAAATTATAGGCACTTGTCATTGCGTCTGGCTTCTTTTTTAATCTTAAACCTCCACTTCTGCTACCACCTTGGTCTAATTAGAAAACGAAAGAATTATTTCCCATCTTTCCTGTTGTTATTTTGAAGCTATGACAGGGATGATGTACTCGTCTAGGAAGCTGAAGCAAACCCCTTGGCCTGCCTCTTAGCTTTGTGGGCTGCTCACAGCAAATAATGGCCCTGGATGACCTCACATTCTGTCTCCTGAAGTCATTACTAGAAAGATTACTTGGGGCCTTTCTTTAGTAACCTCCCCTGAGGCAACCACAGCCTCCAGAGCCAGGCTGGGCACATGAGGAAGGTGCTGAGTGGAGCTAAGGGACTTGAGGTCTGTCCTGGTGCCCTGCTCAGCAACTGATGCTCTGGACCCTGCCCTGAGCTCTCTGAGCCAGTTTCCTGCCTGTGTAAGGGACAGAGATAGATGCACCTCTGCCCCTCTGCAGAGAGGCATGCAGCTAAGACCTCTGAGCACCTCCCCAGGTGCTCCCCATGCCTTCCTGTGGGTGCACAGTGGGCTTCCATTTGCCCCACCAGCAGCACTGGGCCAGGCCTGGAACGTGACAACAGTCAACCTGCAGGGCATCAACCAGCCCACGGATGCAAAGGGCCCTCTCCAAAAGGGCCGTTCCCACACTGACCTGCCATCTGGAGTCAAGGGGAGGAGGAGGAAAAGGCGGGGAGACAGATGGGCCCACAGCACTTGCCAGGTGGTTCTGGGCCCAGATCAGTCAATAATACGTAGCAGCAGAAAGAAGGACATCCATCAGGAAGGGGAGCGGGTCAGGAAGAAAACAAAGACCCTACTCTGGAAGATGTGTTCGAGGCTGGCTCGCTCCCGAGAACCTGCCTGCTTCCCCAACCTTTTTTCTTTCTGTTCTGAAAAGATGAGTTTTCCTTCCCAGGCTGGGGCTGAGAGGCCAAGCTCTCCCTGGCAGCGGCTCTGGCCACATCCCTGGAAGGGCAGCTCAACTGACCTCAGCCCATGTGCCTGGGAATCAGCTCTGGCCAGTACCAGTTACCCCCCATGAAGGGACTGCACACAGTGGCAGCCTCAGAGACTGACAGCGCAGCTGAACCCAGGAAGGGCACCTCCCTCAGGACAGCTCCAGGGCCCCTTGCCCTGAGCTACTCCTTCCTGTCCATAGCTACTCCTCCCATCAGAGCTACTCTAGAAGCCTGTTCAGACTCCTACCAAGAAGAATGTCACCACCAACAAAAATGAAGCCACTCAGCTTTGAGTGAGCTACAGCCAAAGGACCACAACCCCCACCTGCTCAGAAGCCACGGGCGGCACTCATCACTCGATAGTCACTGTGTACCTCCTGGCACCAGGCCTGGCTCTAGTCGCTGGGACTCAGCAACAAGCAAAAGAGACACACGTCCTGCTTTACAAAACTCCCATTCCAGTTTGGGGAGTCGCTCAGACAACAAGACCAACAGCAAACTGCTAAAAAGTGCTAAGTGCCGCAGAGGGAAAACAGACAGGAAGGGGATGCCAGAAAGTACCTGTGGAAAGGGCGAGGGAGCAGGGAGTAAGGACAGGATTAAATTTTAAGCTGAGTATCCAGAGAAGGGAGGGAGGGAGTAGGGGGAGAGAAGGAGAGAGTCCTGCTAAGTGGGGAGAGTTCCAGGCTGTGGAAGAAGTGCAAAGGTCCCGGGGCAGGTATACTTGTCCTATCTGAAACAGAAGGGCAGTGTGGCTTGGGTGGAGTGAGTGGGAAGGGCAGCAGGGACGAGGTCAGAGTAGTCATGGAGAACAAGACTGCAAAGGCCTTTGGCATTTGCTCAGCATGAGACAGAAAGACAGTGGAAGGTTCTGAACACAGACTGGCATTTTCTCTGGCAGCTGGGTAGAGAACAGGTGAAAAGAGCCAAAAGTAGGAGCCCAATTACCACAATAATCCAAATGCGAAAGGCTGGCACGTGGGGTAAGCGTGATAGCATTGGGGCTGGTAAACAGCGATCAAACTGCAGGTTGGACCACCATGAGGCTCAACCTGCCACAATGGCCAAGGATGCGTCTAGCAAACGCTATAGGTGCAGGTCTCTGCCCTACTCCAGCCACACCAGAGACCCAAGGAAGAACCACAAAAGTTGGCAGCTACATGAGAGGCCTGGCACGGGGCAAGAAGGGCTGGCAGCATGGAGGGGTGAGATAGTTACTGCCCTGCTCTGGGTCTGTAAAATGAGCAGGTAGGACCCTACAGTTTATAAGTCCTTTCTGCTCACCCTTGAAGACTGTGTCAAGCATCCTTTTCTGCAGGGTTTCCCTGGTGTGCTACAGTGAAGCCAGCCCTCCTCCACACTTTGTGGGGTTTCAGTTATGAGGTACCATTAATGGGGTCCTGAAGGGTCCCTGTATTAATGTCTGTCCAAGCTACCTTACCCCTGAGGCAGGTAGCTGCTCAAGGACGAGAAGGGCACAACCCTCCTCTGGGTTATGCTGGTTCCTGAATTCCTCCAGCCCGTGTCCGTCACGCCACAGGTGCCGTGAAGGCTGTGGAATGCATGCAGGTCTCAGTGGCGCTCCAGAGCCAGGGCTCAGTACCTCGGCCTATCTGCTCTGAGTACAGTCTTCCTTGACGGTGCTCAGTGTCGGGGCTCAGGAGGGGTACTAGGTGACATGACTCTGGGTCGGCCAGACCCTTGCTGACCATGAAAGCTGCAGCGAGTTCTGAGGACCTCGAAGGTGCTCATGGCTGAGCATGACTTCCCCCTCTGCAGGGGAGTAGCCCCCACTTAGGAACTGGGCTTGGAGTGGGGCTGGCTCCAGGATTTGGCTCACAGCCTAAGGTCAAATAACCTGCTGCCTCTCTGCCCAACCCACCACCATCTAGGAGGGTAACCAGAGGGTGGCTGTCACCACGCCTGCCACCTTGACTGCTTTCTTTCTTCTTCATCTCCCATTCTTGACATCCCTGCCTCACCCTTTGGAGGTACAGTCTCTTCTTGGCCCCACTCAGACACCACCCTCCTTCTGGAAGTCGCCCCACCTTGCCAGTGGAGACAGAAGGAAAGCTGGACCCAGTCTGGCAGGGTGGCCAAACCCTGTCTGGCACCTTACCAGGTGACTGCCCCCTCCTCTCTCACAAGAGGAGCTGTCATCTGAGCCAGGCCACTTCCTCCTTGGAAGCAGGCTGCCACTCTCTGGGCTCTTGTGCCCTATGGCCCCAGGCTGGAACTTCTCACGGAACTCTACTCTCAGGTACTCTGAACCCAGTTAGCCACGCCTGGATGTCCCCCCACAGCCCACCTGCACCTCAGGCCTCAAAGAAGGTCATCAAAGTAACAATGCTCACTAGATCCTCACCAGTTCAGGGCTGAAGGTCCTGCATGCTATGGAGTCAGTTCCCTGGTTGGCAAGGCTTCTCCTCAGGATCATCACCATGGTAAGGACCTCAGGCACTGGGCTGCATCCCAGAGTAGGCACAAGCCATCTTCAGGTGGGCAGACCTGGTCAGCCTTGATGCCTGGGCAACCCCAGGGGAAGGACATCAGCAGAAAGAGTTCCCCATCAGCCTCTCACCCTTGGAATGGGGCTGAGTACAGCCAACTCCCTGGAAAGACAAAAGACAGGAAAAGAGGTTCAAGACCAGAAAGACTAGGGCCCTTAAAGAGTAGCACCCCGCTCCCATCACCACTGATGCTGAGGATCCCTTTGGAATAGAACCACCTTCTTAGTAAAGGACTTGTACTCTCTCTAGAAGGGCCAAGGCCCAGAGTCACCATCTCAGAGCCTCCCCCTCCCAGTAGCAGCCTTGGGGCACCCCAAAGTCAAAGACCTGCTGGTTAGAACAACAAATTTAGTCCAGCCGCATAATACCTTAAGATCTATCTCAGGGTCTGTGATCCCTGCAGCGTGTTTGAGGTGTGTGACATCTTACCACTGAGTTGGCTCTATAGGCAGCTTTAGTGTACACCAGGACAAGTCAGGAGAGGCTGAGGGTCAGAACACATCTCACCTCATGTCCAACACTCAACTCAGGCAGCCATCTGGCAGCAGGGCACCCATAGTTGGCATGTAGGCTCCCTTCTCCACCAGCTAAGAACACCAGCCATTAAAGACATGGCTCCCGTCTTTGGTGTGCGACCTTTCAATACCAACATATCTGCAACGCTGGGGGCCTGGTATCTTTGTCCACTTCCCCTGAATAAACCAAACCCAGTGACCTTCCACACTAAAAGGAATCCCTTGGCATGGCCATCTGGCAGCCTGTCAACACCCCCACACCCACACACACACTCCCATCATTTCCCATGAAGGAAATGGAGGAAGAGCATAGCCTTCAGGTCTGGTTTGAAAAATTGCACCTTACAATTGACTTGTCTGATCTCATTTCCCCAACCCACCCTTCTGTGGTTAAACCTTCAAAGAACATCATATGGAATCAAGGCATCCAAATATCACCATCAAAAACTAAAAACTAATGATGGTAATAGTAATAAATAAATAGAAAGGCAACTCCTAATGTGTAATTAAAAACACACTGCTCTATACAGGAAAATGTTTTAGAATCTGCTGCTCTGTGTAAAAATTAATTGCACACTGGCATTTACTTGCCATCCAGATTGTAAATCATATTTTCCTGTTTACTTCGATTAGACTTTACAGTGGGTGTTATTGAGATTGCTCAATTACAGGCCAGCTGGCAAGCACAGGAAAATTACCTTCTACTGTTCTTCGAAAACAAGGTTCATCCAAAGTGCAAAAGCAGGGAAGGGGTGGGAATCAATACACTTTCAAAGCTTGACTGTTCAGGAAGGAAGGACCAGGGTCTGCAGGCTCCCGGCTGCACTAGGAGACCTGATGCATGGGTTTAGTACCACACCAACCTACAAGCAGTGCATCCTAACCAGGTGTCATCTGTTTAAGGAGAGAATTCCAGACCACTCCCTTGAGCTCTGGCCAAACAGCTGAGCCAGAGATGCCCACTAGTCCCCAGGATGTTTGGTTTAGGAGAGGGCCAAGAGAGGTACACTAGGCTCACCCTTCTAAGAGGACCTTTGTGCCACCTTAGTGGCACAATGATAGTTGCCATTATCTTTCTGGGTGTAAGCCTCAATTCAGTTCTAGGGCAGCCAACTACAAGCACAAAGTCTGGGAGATGACTGGTCCTCCACCTCCTACCACCCATTTCTTTTTTCTTTTTCTTTTTTTTTTTTTTTGGTGGTGGGGGGGCGGGTACCGGGGAATGAACTCAGGGGCATCTGACCACTGAGCCACATCTCCAGCACTATTTTGTATTTTATTTAGAGACACAGGGTCTTACTGAGTTGCTAAGCACCTGGCTTTGCTGAGGCTGGCTTTGAACTCGCGATCCTCCTGCCTCGGCCTCCCAAGCCAGTGGGATTACATGCATGCACCACAGTGCCCGGCACCCATTTCTGGACTTTAGTAGTTATAAGTTCAAGTCCTGAATCAAAGCACACCTGATTCAGTTCCCAGCTCCTGCAATGTACTGAGCAATCTTTTGTCAACTGACTTGCTCTGTGCCTCAGTTTCCCTCTCTGTGAAATGGAGAAAACTGTGCCTGCTTCATAAGGTTACTGAATCCTATGGAAGTGGAGCTCAAGCACTGTGCTCAGTGGCCAGAGACAGCAGCTACTGCTGCAGTTTAATGAAGCAGCCTGTGAGTTCAGAGCCATTTTCAGCAAAGACACTCAGGCGGTCATCCTCTCAAATTTGTTTGAATTCCATCAAGAGGGGCCTGGCTATATTATGGCTCATCCCTCTGGTAAAACAGTGGGAAGCCGGTAAGAATGATGCTGGTGAGTGTTGCCATGGAAACTCATCAGTCCATCCCGACACAGCTCCACACAAAGCAGGAAGCTGGAATGAGGCAGCAATGGGGCCTCCAATCCCTCACTAGCTCCATCCCCACCAGAGCCCCTATAAGGGACCAGGGTGGCAGAGGCAGCACTAGGGGTAATATGTACCTCAGCACCATAAGCTCCTGGGTACCTGGGGGTCAGCAACAACTGCAGGCCCTGTAGGAAGGATGTATGACCACATCCCTTCCTTGGGGGTTCTGGGACGGAGTACTATGAAGCAAGCACTACATACAGGCAAGGCGGTGAGAGGGGCGCTGCAGTGGGGCTGGAAGAGACCCCCCTGCACAGAAGCCTAGGACACACATCACTGCCACAAGAGACCAAGAATGCAGACAACCTAGATGCCCAGCCAGAAGGGGCTGTTTAAATAAATAACAGTGTAGTTAAGTAAAGGAATAGCATGTGGCCTTCCAAAAAGTTTCAATGACAGTCAGGACCCAATGTGGGAGCGGTGTGCGTGGAGGGCAGAGGGTCAAAGAGCTGAAGAGACAGATCCAAGCAGACCACAAGCTCTGAAAATGGCTCTGAATGAAGACCTTACCCTGCAGCCATGGGGGTTCCTGAAGGCTCATTCTGCTGGAAGACAGTGAGGTTTTCTGCCCCCTTCACAACACCTAACACAGTGCCTTACACAGGATAAAAGCCCAAAACACATTTCTGGAATTGGGCTATGACACAGTGACATTTGAAATAGTCTGGGCATGTGCTCGGACTTGGTGAGGCTAATCCAGACCAGCAGAGCCTGGTGCAATCTGGAATTCCCTGAGAGTCCTTGGATCTGTGGCATGGGCCTGGCCAGCTTCAATGGGGAATACCAGCACCTGTCCTGTCGAGAGACTTAGACCAGGGTAGGAACAGGGACAGGGTCTTCCCAGGGAGAAGACAGAGTTTGGCCTTGGAAGACAATGATGACTAGGTGGTGCTGGGAAGGAGGGAGGAGAAGTCTGACACAGCCCTCCACAGGCGGCCTCCCAGCACCCCCTGCTTTGCCGGATGGCTTTCTCTGAACCTGTATTGAGTACAGCTTCTCTCCACTGAGCACAGGCATAGTCTGGAGGTGGTGTGTTCCCAGGAGTTCATGTGTTCAAAACTTGGTTCCCCACGTAACAAGGTTAAGAGACGGGGTATCTTTCATAGGTGGGGCTTAGTGGGAGGTTGTTAATTCTTTTAACATGTGCTGCCCTCTGGAAGAGATTAATACAGGTCTTGAGTTTATATTTTCAAGGGAGCTGGTATGAAAGAATAAGCCTGGCCAATTCCCAGCCACCCTGGCTTTTTGTCTCGCCCTATGATATCTCCCTCTTGCACACACTGTGATGCCGTTTACCATGAGGTCCTCACCAGAACTGGCACCATGACTTTGAACCCAAGAACTGTGAGCTAAATAAACCTCTGATCTTTATAAGGTTACCCAGCCCCTAGCATTTCATTATAATAGCAGAAAAGGGACTGATACAAGCACCCACTATTTAAACACTTTAGCTTTAAGGCAGTTCCAATTATCCCCATTTTATAGTCATTCAAAGTATCTTACCAGAATCTGGTTCAAAGCTAGGATTTGAGTCCTAATGAACTAACTCCCAGGTCCGAAGCTCCCTCTATATCCCAAATGCGCACTTTAGGAGCCTGGGGGGTGTAGCTCAGTAGTAAAGTGCTTTCCTAGCCTGTACAAGGCCCTGGATCCAATTTCCTATCCCACAAACAAATAAACAAAAATCCTATACCCTTCAGAAGCACACTCACACAATTACCAAAACTAGTGTAATCACTGCACTCCTTAGCATTTTATCCCAGAGAAATGAAGACTAATGTTCACACACAGATGCTTTACTCCATAACAGCCACCAGGGAATCACCAGGTGTCTTTCCCCAGGCAAATGGTTAAACAAACTGAGGCCATCCATACCATGAAATATAACTCAGCAATGAAAGGAACTTTTCTTTTAATATTTAGTTATCAATGGACCTTTGTTTTATTTATTTATTCGCGGTGCTGAGAATCAAACCCAGTGCCTCACACACGCTAGGCAAGTGCTCCATCACTGAACCCCAGCCCAAAAGGAACTATTAATACACACAAGAATTTGGACAAACCTCCAAAGAATATGCTGAGTAAAAAAAGCCAACCCCCAAACGTTAATTATTGTACAATTAATTTATATCACATTCTCGAAATCAGAAAATCACAGAACTGGAGAACAGATAAGTGGTTGTCAGGAGTTAGGAATGGGGATGTGGCTACAAGACCACAAGAAGGGTCCTTGTAGAGATGAAATGGTCCATATTTTGACAGTGTGGGGCTCAATCTCGTGATCACACTTGTTGTGCAAAATGTTACTACTGGTGTGAAACGCGTAAAGGGTACTACATATTTCTCTGCTTTATTTCCTACAACTGCACAAATGTAAAACGAACTCAAAATAAAATATTTAAATAAACTTGTCAAAACTCATAGAACTAAACAGCACAAGAGTAAACTGTACTATATGTAAATTAAAAAAAAAAGAAAAAAGCCCCCTGCCTGCACCAGGGTGACGACATGCCGAGGAGGGGAGGCCAGGTAGGCTGTAGAAGCTGGCAGCCCTGCCTGGCCTTCACCTTGACCTCGTGGCTTGACTT